CCCCCCCCCGATATAAATCATGACTAGTCCCTTATGGCCTTAGAAGGTTAAAGGGTGTGTCAACGCTGTTTCAAAAGGAGGGGGGTAGGGTGGAGGGAATTTGTGTGAGGAACTTCTCCTTCGCGTTGCTCACTGGCATGTTTTAACAAATCCAGTCAGATACATCGCAACTTTGATTGACTAAATTAGATTTTAAAAAAACTTAAGTTACAATTCAAGAAATCCTAGATCGTTCACATGAAATGTTTCATTTCTCATCGCCCGACCGACCATTGTTTTTGATGAGCAAAAATATATTCACATCCTGTTACATTGCCTGACATGTAAATGTTGACAGTTAACTTATTCGCATTCACAAATTTATCAAAAGGCACTTGATCATGACTAAACTTCAAGTAGGAATCGTTTACAAGTAATTTTTCAGTCTGTTTATTAGGGACTTTTGTGTTAGGACACGGACAAACGGACGTACAATTCCTGATTTCATCCGTGGAAAAAAAGAAAAAGAAAATTAAATCTAAGGTTAAAATTGAACCATAACGCCAATGCGAGGCTGAGCTACTGTCTCTAAAACTTTTAATTTAATAAGCATGTACCATTGTAGTGATACCGCTGGCTTAATGTCCCATCTGACTCCTATTCGATTACAAAAGATAATACAACTCAGTGTTTTTTCATTTGTGATGCAACAGCAGCAATGAGTGCTGCTCCTTTTCCTGAACCATCTTCAGATAGCATCAAGGTGATGTCGGCTTCCGGCAAAATTTCAGCGAGAGTCTCTTGCATGTAATTCTTGAACTGTGGGTGTCTCTTAAAGAGGCTTCCATCAGCGGCGATCGTAGTCGTATAGTTACCAGTTTTCTGTGTACAAAATGAACACAAACTTTATCTATTAAAATCAATGAATACATGAACAAAAGCAAGAAATAATTTTACCACTCTAATTGACCATATTTTATTGTTACTTTCAAATTCGGAAAAAACTTCAAATTGTGACCATACGCATCGGAGATCAAAGTGACACAGGCATACCATGAGAACCAGAAACTATCGGCTATCATTTCTAGTTTTCTCAATTCTGATTGGTGCTTTCTTATCACATGATAACGTACCAAAAACATATCCTGTGTTCATGGTCTGTTGAGTTTAACGGGAAGTAATCAAGGATGCAAATGAAATTATTATAAATGAATAAACAGATAGTCAAAAACTCAACATAGAAAAAAACTTGAAAGACGTCAAAATTCAAATTTTCAACTGAAATTTAAAATTACGAGGGTCAAGAAGATGAATGACAGTTTAGTAACACACACCTTGACAATTGTGGCCACCCCTGCTGCAGCTACTTTAGCAGCCCTCAGGGATACTGCAGCACAAACTCGCTGCAAATTTTCGATGTCAGATTCTGAGGCTTGTTTCGCTACTTCTATTGCTTTTAGCACCTCCTCTATCTTGTGCCCATCTTGACTGAAAGAATCAGGAGTTGTTCTTATTGATCATGGAGATTATTATCCTATCATGTATACTACTATAATTTATAATCATTGAAATAGTCAACGTAAATTTAATAAAACAATGTTTTTCTCTACTCTAGCTCAAATACCTTTCAACCAGAGACACAAACTCAGCAGGGAAACTGTTTTTTCTCCTGAATTTTTCTGTAACTTGCCCTTTGAAGAGGAGTTTCTTTTCGACCAGGTCCATGCAAACGATTCTGGCAAGTTCACCAAGATACATACCAGATATCATCTTCTCAAATCTGTGTAAAAGAAGTAATGTTTGCATAGAATTAAAAAACTTTCTGCTAAACCCTACAGTAATGTTTGGAAAGCAGAGCAAAAAAGCTGTTTGTTCGATTACTGTGATAAGACAATTTTTAATTGAGCGTCGAAAGTAATTCGAGATTACGTTTTGTTTTACTTGCTATATGATTGGTCCGTAAAACTTAAAACACTTTCTTAGCCAATCAGATGCCAGACTAAAACCAATCACGACTTGGTCGCTCGCGTTTTCCCGCGCTTTAGGCAGTTAATGCTTTTTTTTTCATTTTTGATCTCTCATTGGCTCTTAAAGGTAATTTGCTTTCTTCTGATTGGCCGTTGTGATTACCTTCGTTTTGGTTTCACAACACTCCATCGAAAAGAACTCTATTTAAACATTTACTACTTACATCTGCTCACGAGGGTTACTGGATTCTCTGTCAAGTTGTTCATCGTACTTTGTGCGAAGATGATCCAACGAGCCATTGTCGCCAAACGCACCCCACTCTGTGTTGATGATTACTTGTCGTGGTTCATCTTGATCACCGTCCCATTTAGGAATATTATCAAGGCTCTCCATGTAGCAAGCGTTTGTTCCAGTGCCCAAGATAAGACCAGCGCTGACTAAAGGGTTCTCGAATGCACAAGACATCATTGTGCCTGTGGTGTCATTGACAAGGGCAACAACATCCACTGTGGAACTCTGCAGGGCAATATAATCAAAACAGTTTTCTTTAGCATTTTTTATTGACTGTTCAAAGTGAGATTAAAATCAAGCTTGTCTGCTGTTCTTTACAGTTAAAGCCAAACTTCCCCATTCCCCCAGCCCTTGAGATATATTCACTATTGATAGCAGCAAAGCTTACCTAGAAAAGACGTTACCACAGGAAGCCCATTACCACACGTTCATTAATGAAGTCAGTTTGAACAAATTAAAATCGTAGTTCTTTGTGCCGTCAATAAACCAGACATCATACTTGAACTTCTAAGTATCCCACGGGTATAATCTTATAACGTCCCCCTGATGTTCGACTGTAGCTCGTTATTTCTTTATAATCAAATTAAATTTTATAATCATAGTTCATAGATAGTGCTAAAATTTGAGAACAAGAAGGGAACATTTGGGCCATCTGCTTCATGGGATTCACTGATGTTCTTAGTAAAAACATCTGAATGTAATCAGACGCACGGTAACATGAAATCCAATTTTTTAATTCAATAAAGGGACAGATATTCGTTTTATGGAGATCATATACATGTCTGCTCGTCTCTAGCACGAGTATTTTTAATGTGGGCCCATTTTCTTTTCGCATGTAGCCTTAAGGCCTTTTATTATTACATGTCAATGCAATGTCAATACGTTTGTGTTCCCACCACAATCCGACAATGTTTTACCCCCTCCTCTCCCCCATTAGTAAACGAAGGAGGGAGTGGGGGGGGAGGGGAGATAAAAATGCTAGGATTATATTAGTATATTACTTAAATCCATCACAAGAAAAGCCATAGTAATTTTTAATGTTTCAATAAAATTAACTTACCATTCCCTTTCTTACAAGCGCTTCCTTGAGCAGTTTGACAACATCCTCGTTTTCCACTCCGGAGGCAGAAAATCCCTTAGTCCATCTGATCAGCGACCCTGATATGAGTGATGATTGCTTGACTGGAAAAGAAAACGTAAATCCGAGCGGCAGTGATTTGTCAGAGAGGTCGTGTTTTTTCACAAAGAGTGAAATGTGATGAGCAATGTAATCAAAAAACGTTTCCGCGTCACTGGTTTTAACTGTCTGAGTCAACGGTGGGATTTCAATTGTATCTTTGACTTGGCCATTTCGTATGGAGATTGATAACAACCTGAAGTTTGTTCCACCAAGATCCACAGCTAGGAAATCACCAGATTCTGAGCCACTTGGAATTGCCCTTACATATGTAGGAAGCATTTTGACAGAGCTCTCCGCTCGCTGATTTTCACTAGCAGAGAGACCATTGTCGAAGTCTTTTCGTAGAAGATTCATAATCTCTTGGATGGATTCGTTTGACATGTCAAACATTTTTAAAACCTCTGATACCTGCCAAAGAAATTGAAACAATTTCAAAACCTCATCCGCTGTGGCTCACCACTTAGTGGAAAAGAATCTTCATGATTACTCAGTTTTCTGTGTACGGAACCATGCACTTAGCAAGTCAGACCATCGAGATCATTCTGCTCCGTTATTCTCCAACCCAGGAGTTTTTTAATATTTTCTGAAGAAATGTGTTTGAAATCGACAAATTTATGTTTTATGATAAAAATGACCTATAGCCTCCATTGCCTCTCAATCTCTTCGTAACAAATAGTCAAATATACTACTATGGTACCAGTACAGTCAGTTTTTACCGACCGCATTTGTGTCGTGCAAGTCTCAAGAAATTGCAATTCTCCACTAAGGTCCTAAAATTTGGAACTTTCTTCCTGTAACAGTCACTCGAGCGTCAATTCTTCTTAGCCTAAAGACGCAAATTCTAGGATATTCCTTGAATTTGTGGCCAAGCACGCGTCTTTTAAATATATAGTTTGTGGCCTTTCTAATAAACTCGGTGGTTTCTTGAGGTCTTCTCGCCTTATAAATTCGTTTATCGTTATTGTTAAAAAGGCAAATTCATTATGATGATGTACCTCGTCTCTTTTCTTGAAAGCCCCGGACAGAGTTTCAAATATTAATTCCGCAAAAGATGTGGCCTCGGGCATGTTTCCGACGATCTTGGACTCTGTGAATGTTTAAATCTGTAAGAGATGCATTTGTCGATACCTCATCAGATGAAATTTTCATCCACGAAAAATGTAGGATTTTGAAAGCTGAACAGATTTCTTACAGATGCATGTAAATGATTATGAGGGTGATCTTCGCGGCATTGGTACATGTAGGTTTAGATTTAGAAATACATCTTAGCTTATGTGTCCAGAATTTGATAAAAGATACACATCAAAACGTTGGGCAACTTTCAACTACAACTCTTCAAAAACCTCAGGTTTAGGCATGACGGGTGCAAAGAGTAAAGAAAAAAAGGAAAAAAAGCTTTTATTTAAGCTGTTTTTTTGTCAAATTTGTACACAGGAAGGTATGTATTTTAGCAAATCCAAGTAGAAGCGCTCACATGACTGGTACGTGCATCACGTTTTTTTTTGTCTACGCGATATTTGCTATAGCGCTCGACTCACGATATATTTATGTTTTTCAGCGCAATATTTCTCTTTCTGTGGCTTCGTTAAAGACTGGATACTCAGTTTGAAATAACGCTGCATATTAGGTCCAAAATTTACTTGATTCATTTTTCTGAAAATTTTTCTAAAAAACTCTGTTTCTCTTATGAGCTTGGTATCATTTGAATTAAAGTCTGAACCTTTCTAGGAAAAAATTAGTCCCGTGATAGTGCGTCTCTTGAAATATGTGAAAAAAAATGCACAAGACTTTAAAACACGAGTTTATTTCTAAATTCGACCTACCTCTTGAAGCCTTTGGATTCCTGCGATGCTCAAAAGATAAAACTCCTCTGTGTAATGGTAGAAGTCACTCTGCACAGAATTTACGGGCCGTGTAAACTGGTTGCCAGATTCGTTCCCGACTCAGTGCTGACTGGAATAAACAAAAGGAAAATCATTATGACCCAACTGTCTAAAACAGGATTATCACATAGCTTAGAAATTTTTTTGTCTCATATTCCGCCGCAGGGTCCAGAGGTTGATGAAAAGGAGTTTTCAAAATCACGACGAAAGATATGAAAGTCGATTGGTAGAAAACCTGCTGAAATTAATCGTAGCTCATAAATATTATTAAAACGGCCCTTTCTTTTACCGAGTCTTAAGCTAAAGGAGGTAATATTTTACTAAATGTGAACCGTCAAGTAACTCAAAACTCGCGGCAAAACAAATAAAGGCTTTGTTGATATTCACATGACAAGTATGTAAATCACTTCTCTTTATTTTCGTAATATCAACTGTCTCCTTACTCAGAACTGGTTAGCTCAAATGATCACCACAAACCGCATAATATTAAGCCAAGCTTTACTAATTATTCGATCTCAAAGAAATATATTTATAATTCGCAATCAGAACAAACGCAAATCAAGTCTTCATCTCGTAGCTAAATTAAAAAACTTCAATGTAAACTTACTTCTGTGCGGGTCGTTACAACAGTCTCACCTTCTAGGTTAGCAGACTCACCAGGTAAGCGGATTTAGAGACAGAAAAATAAAATAAAAAAAACTTCTTTTTTACTTCGATTCTGCTGAAAACTGATTTGAAACATAATAACCTAACGCTTTTAAATCAATGTATAGAATTTTAATGTCAATCACGATTCTTGTCATCCAATAAACCTATTAATTAGAGGCGACGCCCACTTGATAAACGAAACAACCATAGCCCAAAAAATCTCTCTCAATGTATTTAAGACCCGCCTTATTAATTTGATAAAAAATTAAGGTGGCTCTAAAGCTCAGAGTTTTTGAAAACTTGGTGGAAAGATGGATCATATTTTGCTAATACAGGAGTTTCATTAACAGCCGGTAACAACTGGTCTACAACCACCTATAAGACATCTTACCGCCGACTGGTTAGCCTGCGAGGTTTGGGTTTTGCCTTACTGCCCCTTTTGTGACCAGAGCAGCCCAATATGTGCACCATTGGCAATCACTTATAAAAAAAGTTATTGAAACTCCAACTAATAAAAATTCAATGATAAAAGATGAACATAACAAAACTCTTTTTTCGGTTACACGCGCAAAACCTTTATTTAGTGTCACGGACACAAGCGTCTCGCTCTATGGGGTCGAAACTTTCCTTTCAGTTTTTCAGAGGTGTTTTTTAGTCACGGGTTTTACAAACGCCCGTCAATCAAGCTTTGACTGACAAAATTTGGTTAGGGTGTGCCTTCCCATAAACGTGAAACCGAAGTTAACTTTGGCTCTTATAGCGTGCCACCAAGCTTAGACAAAACACCGAAAATTTTCAACGAGAAACAACTAGGCAAAAATTATAGAACATTCTCTTGAACCAAATCCATTTAAGAACATTCGTTCTAATTTGTGACTCGGGTGACACGTATCAAGAATGGTCTGTTGTTCCGGCTCTCGTAAACTTTTCACTTAGAATAATATTGTACTGAATCCTAATTTTCAATAGACACTTTCTAGTGAAAGTTTTGTTTCTGAGTATTTGTATTACTTGACTTGACACCAAATAATTAGAGCTAAAGATACAAGAGATGTTTTGGCTGAAGACTGGGATCTGATTTATCCTCACAGTATCACTTCTGCATCAAAAATTAAGGTAATAATGATGATAATAATAACAATAATATATGATAATGTGGAAATGATCGGAAACTAAAGACACTCGTGATAGTCAAGCAAATTCTCCTTGTAAGTGGCACAGAAAACGTTTAAGGTGCAGTATTCATACGGATGTGAGGGTGTTGAGGGTTATTTAAATAATACAAAAGTATCTGGTATTCCGTTTTCGTGAGTCCTTGTCAGTTCCTTAGTCCTCAGTTGAGATCTGCGTCGACTGCTGTGGTAACAAAGTGTAAACTTTAGGCTTATGGATTCGAATGGCGAACAACTTCAGCACCTTGAAAGTCTACGAGGAAAAGAAACATTGATACCCATAAAAGTTTTATTTTGACTCCAATGTAGGGATATGCTCATCTTCTTACAAAGCCATCTTCCTTTTGGGTTTCTCACATCACTAACTAATGATTGATGTACGACGATCGTTGTCGTAACATTTAAATTTAAACTGGTTTGAACATGACAAGATCGTTTGGTTTTATCAACTGAGTAGATAATGTAAATTGGCCACTGTAAAGGGTTTCTAAAGCTGACTTTTCAAGCGTTATCCCTGCGTCAGAGTGAATGACGAACGGCTAACGCTCGAAACATCAGCTTCGAAACTCTTCACGGTAGCCGATTTACATCACCAACTCAGTTGCTAAAACCAAATTATCTTGTTCCCCCCCCCTTCTTTAGAAACTTAACTTATTACGGTTTGAACATAGTTAATGATGAAAGATTTTGGCTTGAGTTACAACTTCTCTTGAGACAAAATTACAATCTGACCAGACTGGCTAACAGAAAAATGGACAGAGAGAGAGAGAAAGAAAAGAACATGTAGTCAGTCAGACAGCTTGTGTCAATCAGTCAGTCAGGCAGACATTGAATCAGACATATGTCAGTCATTAAATCTGACATCTGTCAGTCATTCAATTAGTCCGACAGCAATGAGTTGACTAGACAGCAGTTAATCAGTTGGCCAAACAGACAGACACAGAAAGACAGGCTTGCCGGTTGACGGAGAGGTTGGCTATAGATACACACGAGCAAAACGAGCGAGACTTTGATGAGAGATAGCCTGTCTGTATGGTTGGCTAAGAGACCAGACATATATGCCATCAGCGATAGACAAAGACAGACACACGAAGTGGCATGCTAGACAGACATAAAACGGTAAAGGAAGAAGGAAATACTGATAGACTGTTGAAAGAGACAGACAGACAGAGAGTCAAAAGAGCGACAGACGACAGTCATTAAAAAGGCGTTTCACTTAATTTGATATGCCACGGTTCTGAAATATCTTGATTTCTTGTGATCTGTAAAGGGAAACTCACCATAAGCCAGGCAATGATGGCTCCAAGCACGAAACCAGCAACAACATCACTCAAGAAATGAGCATTTTCAGCGATTCGGCTCAGTCCCAGGAAGAGCGCCAGAGACACGACCACGATCTGGAGCAATGGCTTAATCAGCTTCGTTTCTGTCTTCACAGCTGACTGGATATAAAACTACACACGAAAAAAAGAAAAATGTCCTGTTACTCTAGTGTCACGAGAGAACCAAGACACCTTAGGATTTTTTTGACTGCTTAGAGTCTTTGTAGGCTTCATTGTTTACTTGCCAGCTTGTTTGGCACCTCTTCTCTCCCTTTTCATCGTCAATACAGTCTTAAGTTCTATCCACCATCCATAGTTTAAGTGAACGCACGACTTTGCTTGGAGGGAGGGAGAGAAGTTTATAAATTTAATAAAAACTTTTGAAAACAATCCTAACCCTAACCTTTTCCTAAGCTACTCATGTAGAACGGGGAAATAAAACAAGAGCGGAGGGAATCATTTGAGACTGAGCGGACATGCACACTTACCGCAAGATACAACATGGCATACATGGTCAAAGAAGATTGGCCGGATGGGAAAGACATCCTGTGAAATAAATAGTTATTAAAAACAGTGATACTTTTACCATTCTTTCAATGAGTAAGACTCGGTAACTGGCGTTTTCCTGAGCATTACGCATTTTTTATCTCAAATTTTACTTTAGCACCTGACGTACTTCCTTGTATTCTGATCGGTAATTGGTTCCTGGTGGTGCCCCCCCCCCATACTTTCTTGTCTTCTGATTGGTTAATGTGACTGTGCAGGGTGATTGGAGTTGTGTCTGACGTTCAACAAGAGATCATGCATGAAAGAGAAAATCTGATCCAAAACCAACAGTCAAAACACTTAGATGTATCTCTTTTCAGTTAATTTTTTTTCCATATGTCTACTACTACTCAAATAGTTCGAGAATCTGTTTAGTGTAATCTTACGTCGTTATTCGATAACGCATTTGTAAAGTTAAAATCAAATTTGCAAACTATTTCTCAGATACTAGTAACGTGCTTTCTAGGTTAATCATACTGAGTTACATTTTAGAACATTTGTTCTGACAAGCTCATATCAGCCTCTTGTCTTACCTGGCCATTTTGACGTTATACTCGTCCCCAGTGCACATCCCATCAGAGATGTATCCTTGCTGACAATCAATTTGAGTCAAGTTGGCCCGGCACACATCCCTGAAGTTGGGTCTAAGGCGACCCACACTTATCTTGGCGAGGTCGGTGATGATTTCATTCAGAAATCCGCCAAACACGAAGACAAATATCAAGGCAATCGTGCTGAAAATAAAAAATACCAAAAGAAGATTAGATCTGAATTCGGACTATGTAAGTAAGAACTTCAATAGAGTGTCAAAAGTGATCTGGAATTGTATCGGTGTTCAGTGCCCCCTTAACCCTTTCCAACCTAATATCAGTTTTCACATTCTCGAACTGCTCTCCATACATTTCCTAATGTGCTGACAAGAAGAATTTGTTTAACAATCAAGAGCTTCTTTAGTTTGTGATCATTTCCTTTACTCTCATTACCGTAACATGTGATTTGGGGGTAATAGGTAACAAATGTATAGGAAACAGTTCGGAGAATATGCCTACTGATATTCAAGTGTAAAGGGTTAAGTTTCTAGGGAGAGTGTTTCAAGTTGTTATTGGACCTTTTACCTGACAATCCAGGGCTTTATGGTGATTGGCCCAAAGGATTCTTCCTCCTCTTCATCGATTTCTCCGGATCGTTTCCAGTTGTTACAGGACTCAACTATCAGAATCTGTGAGCGTTGGATGAAAACATTGCACTTTGGTTATTTAATGATCAGTCAGTCAATCTGGCAGAACAAGCGCCTTAGCTAATGATGGGATCCTCTCATTCGTAGAAGAGATCAGTGCATATATTGAACGTTCAGGAGTAAATCAACGGAGAGTGGACTCCACGAGGTATGTCCAAACTTTCTCCTTCTTCCTTCTCTTTTCTGACTTCCTCTCTTCCTTTCTACTCATTCCCAGGTCCGCCTCGCTAATTTATTTATTTCCCACAAATTAATAATTCATATTTGGAGGAAGGGCAAGTTTAACATAGATTTCTTTTGATCAGGAATTTTATAAGTAAGATCTTAAAGCTAGAATATCTGGGGGATAAGGTGAGATCACAGGGTAACGTGTTCCAAACCTTAGGACCTTAGTGACCTTTTTATTCCGTTTTCTATTCGCTCCCTGATTACTTGCGGGGAGACCAAATGCCCACTAAAATCAATTAAGCCTTCTTTTAACAAAGAGAACAATAGAATCACTGAGTTGTTGTAGGATGACTTTTTAGTTCTTGTTAAAAACTTCGCGGTCAATAGATCGACTTCAATACGGCAAATCAAGGAACTGAATTAGGTACTCCTAAACTTGCTTCACATCTCATCAACATAGATGAGTATCTTGAAATGAGCAACTAAACATTACAGGGAGACTGAGGTCTACCTCGTCGGCATGCTTTGAAGAACGAGGCTATGACGCCATAGGATTAACAGTGATTTAATGGGATGTAAATGAGTTGCCTTGTATTCTGTAGTTTTACCCAAAATTCAAGCTCAAAACAACGAGGAAATCGACGAAATTCGAATCATCCCTGTGGCAGTAGAATGTCTAATTCGTAGAGGTTTAGGGCGCTTAAGTTTTAGAATTGGAAGATGGTACTTTAATTTTGGTTGACTAACTTCAAACAAAACAGAAAATAATTTGCATTCCTATCCTTCTGGAAGTGAACTTACCAGAGAAAGACCTCAGCTGATCGACTTTTAGAATCTATGATCTTGTTCGGGAAAGACGGAAATATTTGGTAAATTTGACTGCCGGGATGGCTACTATATCCCACGTTTGATGGATGGGTTTTTTGGGATATGATGATTAGCGCGGCGATCTGTGGCATTGTTAGTCCTGCTGTTCTTTTTGTAGTTTTGAGCGCCAGGTAAAAAACGAAAATTCAAGTATAAAGACGCCATTTTCTGGCAGTCATTGCTTCTGGTTATAAAGAAAGGAAGCTTTAGAACGATAGTGACAAAACTCTGCAGTACCTTTCAGAATGCTGCGAAGTGTTTTCAGCTCATGGTCATGAAGCATAGTGAGAGAGATCTTCCCAATGGAATTCTTTGTTAACAACGCTTAATCTTTGATTATGAACCAGGAGAAGAAGAGAGAAATATTGTCGGAAATGAACGACTTTCTGTGAGATTAACCTAAAGGTTTTAACTTTAGATCTTTGGTAATTAAGACTGAAAATAAAACCCACAATTTTCAAATAGCTTCGGGGTCAAAACAAAGAATTACCATTAATAAAATTTTCCTCTAAATGCACAAATTCAATTGGACCGTCTTTCTGTGTAGCTTTCCTTGGTTTTATCACTTCTAATGGAATTAGTACTAGATCTACTCACCAAAACTATGGGAACAATATAAGTCAGCGCACAGAGACCTGCGTAGTCCATCCAAGGTTCCTTAAACGGCAGCTGAATACTTTTGTCCTCACAGAAGAATCCCTGTTTAATCGGGTATAGCTTATCAGTTGTACCATACACCAAAGTCTTCGTCACCAAATAATCAATTAGTACTAAAATAAAACATAAGAAATCAAAGGCGACATTGATGGTTTTAGAGTCACGAGCCATCTTAGTTTGTGAACGTCGTTGAAGATCGATACGCAAGGTTAACCCTTTCGCTGAATTACTCAGACTTTCGCATTTGGATTATCTCCAAGCGTGTAATATGCAAATAACTGCACCCTTAATGCATCACTGCTTTTCAATAGGAATGCGCTGAGTATAAAGAGGGTAAGTTTCGAGAGAAACCGTGGCGCTGAGTGGGGAGCATTACAAGTTAATTCATCTTAATCAGCTGAGTTGATAAAGTGAATTGGCACCGAAAAGATTTTATAAAGCCGAAGTTGAAACTTTAGCCTTTCGTCAGGGCTAAAGACGAGGAGCTCTGAAAAAGGGCTGACGCTCGAAACGCTTTAGAAGCTCTTCACGATAGCAAGTTCACACTACTCACTTAGTTGATATAATCAAATTATCTTGCAGTGACTATAGCTGTTCTCTATGACGGCAGAGAATCGCCGTGCCTTTTAAGAACTTCTTTAAAAGCTGTTAACAACAGTTTTTTTTCAATGCTGCGATGAATAATCTATTTAATAGTAACTGATAATACAGAACTCTTAGTTATTTGCGAGCCGCTTAGCTCAACAACTGACCATAATAACAAAATAGATCATGAACCGAGACCCGTATCTTTTCATTTCAAGGGTTCGAATTTAAGCTGGTCATCTGAACTCTCTTGAAGGAATTTTCGTAAAGTAATCCCTTGTTAAGCTCACGAAGACAAGAAGATTAATTGATTTAGACAACCATGCAAATTGGAGTTTATTTATCAAGTTTAGGTGGCTTTGAATTCGTTCGTCTCCCAGTAAAAACATTAAACATGCTTGATCATTTGTCCATAATTGCGTCTCACTTTTATTATATTTTTATTATATTTGCATTCAATTAACCGTCAAGGAGAACTAAGAATTATCGTCCCTCTTCTCCAAAACGCTGAAAAAAAAATTCTTTAAAAGTACAAGCGACTGATTTGGAAAATACCCCTAAAAAACTCACAGCAATCCAAAAGTCGTCGTACTGTCACATCAATTGTTGGTTTTGTTGGTAGCTAACCCACTTAAAGTTGCTTGATTTTCACTAGACAATCCACAAAGAGGTGCAATTAACTAATGTATGTGGAAACAGCCATCAAGATGAGACATTTTAAACTACAATTTGCCAACTTGGGCAAATGCATGTCAAATAATAATCCTCTAGATAGAAAACGCAATATATTGCAATTTTAACTATTAAATACCCAAACGAGTGGTTCAACAAGTTGCGAAAGTGCAGATTTGGATTCAACAACAATTCAATAAATTTAACAATTGGTTCATACGTCAGCGTGCGTTCATCGAGATATGTTGCACGCGGGAAGTTTGGAGAGCACAAAATATGCGTAAGAGTTGCTCGAGGTGTAGCCGAGAACAACTCTAGCTTCTTGAGTGCTCTCCAAACTTCCCAAGTGCTTCATATCTCGATGAACGCACAGATGATGTATGAACCAATTGTTTTATAACATTTTCAATCCGATGGAAATTTTTTTTTCTCGAGGGATTTGTTTGCTGACGCCATGAGCGTGCACAATATGGGAATACGAAGCATGCTCGCGCAATTGAATTTGATTAGAAAAATTTACTAGCTATGTTATAAAATTTATTAATATATAGTCTAAATGTGTTGAAACAAAATGAGTTCAACAAGCTAATTTACTTATATAGTGATGTTGAAATACTATATATGGCCGACTTATCAATGACCCATTGTCAACCAATCAGCTACCCTTAATTGCAATGTTTGTAGCATTATTGCACGCATAACAGAACAATGTTTACACTTAATTTCTCCACTGCTCAATTAGTTGTATCTCCAAAAATTTTATTTTCAAAATGCTCACAAACAACCAAAAAAACCTTAACAATAATTTAATATAATTTAAAATACTTTCCATCTGCATGATAATTTCTTGCCGCTCATGAATGATCAATTGAAGTTTCATTTCCAGTATTTCCATTATTAAGAAATCTATGCACCCTGCTGTGGATTTCATAATAGAAATTTTTTGGAAATTTTAAATCTTCTCCTTGAGCATTCCTTTAAGTTTCACTTCTCTTAATTAATTTTTTTACACTAAGCTACAATTTCTAAAATACTTTTGTCAATATACTTCTTGCTATATAAAACCTTTCAAATATTCATGTGAAATTTTATCAAAAAGTTAAAATCTGTCTTTCATAGCCTCTACATTTGTGTGCTGGACGTTGCTTGAATATCTAAAGAGTTATCAGGCGAATAATATCTTGTTATAAATTCCCCTAAAAATTAGACATACACCTCCTAGAGTTCTTTTGCCATAGAGACATGCCAATCACAACACTACTTCTTTAGAGTTAAACTTTAAGATGTATGCTTTCATATACCTCTAAGCTTAGAATGGGTATTGATTTGTGGGAGGAGCATCCCTGTGTAGAGTATAACCCTACAATTTAGGCAGGTGCTTTCTGTAAATGATCCAGTTGTTGACATACAACGTGAAGCTACAGTGGAAATTGATTGTCACCATTCAGATCTGCTCTCTCCTCACTGTTGTTCACAGGGTTTCTTGATACAAAGTCAACTTCATCAGTAGGGTAACACTTGGGGCAGGGAGGAGAGGAAAACAGCCTCAGTGATCGGAACGTCTGGAAAAAAAGGCAACAAATCATACATATATTAATATTTGCAGACTGCACATGAGCTAGGAAGCCTGTAATTCTAGAATTCATCCCAATTTCCAAAGCATGAACTGATTTTGAGTACGTAAAATGCTGACCTGTTGCAGGTCAAATGAAAAAGATTTCCAGATTTCCTTCTGGAAATTAACAAGTGGGGACTGAAGTAAGAATTTATGCTCAGATGTTGTGATTGGACACTTACTATAAAGAAAGCCACTAGGGTACCAAGAAACATGCCAACCAACACATCTCCCCAGTGGTGCCAGTAGTCAAATATGCGAGACAGGGAACACAGAAGTCCCAGTGACAGGAAGGCCACTTGCAAAAAGGGTTTCACCAAGTTGGTTTGTTTTGTTGGCATTGATGATTCTAGATACAGCTGTAAATAAAAAAATAACTGATTCGTGACAAAATTACCAGCAGAGTCGAGGGTACCCCAGTAACTATACTTAAATAAGAGATTTCAAATGTAAGGTTGGAAAATTATAAAAAAACTTTCACCCACCAAATCTTATGCACTTTAGGAAGGAAGCTTTCTATATATTTTGGAAACCCATGTATGTTTTTTTGAATTCTTTTAATAACTAAGGATACTCCTAAACAAGTCTTAAGTGTGAGATTATGAGCATTACCAATATGGGTACAACATTATTCTAAGATAAATGTCACTACCCATGCAGAGCCTGTAATGTTCTAGGCCTGTTATCAGGTTACTTGGCTGACTAGTGACAGAAACAAAACAATACTTACTGCCAAAAATACCATACAATAAGTTGAAAATGAGGCATGACCTGAAGGGAAAGACATTCTGAAAGGTAAAACAATTAATACAGCAAGGGGATTAGTTAGGAAAAGTAACATTAGAAACAGAGCTACCAATGAGCTAAACTAGTTTATACTCAAAGTTGGAGAAAGGCACTATGACATTATAGTTGTTTTCTCAAAAATAAAACCCATTGATTCTAACCAGTGTTAGTCAGTTATAAAAATCAAGGGGGAAGAGCAATGACTTGACATAATTCTTTAGAAAATGTTGTTGTATTGCATGACAACTATAGTATTTACCTTGCATCCAAAACATCTACAGGATCTCCTGTGCATATGTCCTCGGTAATAAAGCCTTGACTACAGTTAAGTAGAGTTGCATTGGGTTTGCATATTGCAATGAAGTATGGTCGCAATCTTCCAACAGTCACTTTACCCATGTCAGTGAACAGGTTTGTAATAAGTGCACCAAAACCAAACATGAAAAGAAGAAAGAATGTTCTGTAAAATAACCAGAGAAGCAAAAATTAAACCTGATTAAAACATATTAAATTTTTGTATAGTTACATTATTTAAATTATTAACCCTTTGCATGCTAATGTCAGCATTCATATTCTCTATACTCTATTCTATGCATTTTCTTTGAAACTGACAAGGAGAATTCATTCAACAATCAATGCTTATTAGGCTGGCGATCATTTCCTTTAATCTCATAATCTTAATGAATGATTCCACAGTAGAACTGTAAGGAGAAATTAAGCAATGGTCAATCTTTGGGATCAGAGGGTTAAACATAAAGAAGTGACTCAAAACCAACTGTCAATAACAATGTCCTCTCAGTCAAGCCTATAATAAACATGCATAGCAGACTGGTTATATTTGTATATTTCATCTATTATGATCCAGAAATTTTCAAAATGAAAAAAAAAAACCATCCAATATGGTAATAAATGATTGCAGGTAAAATATAGTTGAATAATGAAAGTGAAAAAGGTATATTATTACAGAAAAATCTAGCTTGTACTAAGGTTTATAGAAGGGTCAAAGACCCTCTGCAAGATAGACCACCTTCCAAAAATATCCCTCTTTTTATAAAAATAAGATCTAGAAAGTTACAGAAATTATATAACCTAATAACAAGTGAGGGAGGCAATTATCTAACAGACTCTGATTGGGGGGTGTTGAGTACAGGTTGTACTTGTTAATTCCCTTAGGTGTTGCATCCAAAAATTGGCTTGTCTATTTAAGGAGATCTTTGCTCTTGACCTTTCCTTAATAAGTGCTGTTAGTTCTTATGGTGGACTAGAAGAGGATTTAACATGATAAAAGTGATCATATCTACAAGAAAGATAGTCTTGGGGGCCAAGTAAGAGCTATAAATCACCTTCTTTGCCATGCTGTTGGTGTGCATATCAATGGTCCACATTTGATGTTGAATTTGCCAACTTTAAGCTGCTGTTTTCTTCTTTTAGATTTAGCATTCACTGCTTCACACAGAATAATCTTAGTGAAAATAAAATGTAAGATACTTATTGCTCAAACAATGAACTGAAATGAGACGACAAAGGGTGTTTCATGCTTCACTGCATCTGTCGTTATGTTGTTCAAAGGAGTATCAATACTTTATTGGGCGAGTAATATCTGTGTGAAAACACCTCTGCATTTATTCTTCAGGGCTTGGCAGGAAATAAGGGAATGCTTCAACACAGGAGTTTAATCGTGACTGCTGTTAAATAGAGTGAAAGTTACAAATTCAAATGGATCAAAACGGCACAAATTCAAACGTTTGTGTTAGTAGGAATAAGTTTGACAATGGAAAGTCGGTATTGGCTCGTTCCGGCAAATTAGAAATACATATTCTATTTTCACGCCTCTGCCGATAAAAGAAATCAGTTGCGCAATTCATTAAAGTTTGGTAACATTGAAAGTGATTAGGTTTTTTTTAAGTATCGAAGATAGGCAATGGATAAAGAAGTTGTCACAGTTCAAACGGCTAGAACGTGGGTAAAGCGTTCACTGTTTGAAAATAAAACAAAACAAATAAATGTTCGTTCACAGCGTGTTATTAAAAAATTATGACTGCCCTCCACTTACTCCGTTGTGAAGATCATGCGAATATATTCTGAGTATAAAAACGTTTACAGCAACATTCTTAGCAGGTCTAGGAGTTTGTTAGAGTAATTTTGTTTGTATTGACTTTAGTGGCTATTTGCTAAGAGATGTTGACCAACGTAGTTCAAGTAAATCCATAATAGCCTGTAAATAAAAATGTAATTGAGTTAATATCAAGTTAAACACTTACCACGGAAATCGACACAGAGAAACCCACAACTATCGTGAGCCATGTAGAGACAGTTTCTTCTTGTAAAGGTTTTTGAAGGCTTTTATCATCACAAAAAAATCCTCTGTGAGATGGTTTTATCGGGATGACATGGATCAACATCTCCGCAACACCCAGAGCGACAAGACATACGAAATCCATGATCAAATGCCACTGAATTTTATGATTTCCCATTTTAAGAGGTTCAAGGTACTGCAAACACACGTGGAAAATTGAGAAATGAAACGAAATGGACCAATTTATCCTGTTTCGTTTGCTTTATCTTTCCGTTTCCGTTGAAGAGCCACTAGGACCAATGTTTACAATTAATCTAGACAAACGTCACATCATGAATATGCAAATCTACGACGAATCGTTTAACATTTCATTAGGGAAGTACTTACCAATATCTTACTGCCGCCATTTTTTTAAAGCCCCTCGTTACTAGTTCTCAAGCTCTTCGCGGTATACGGTAGATTTGTACTCAGTCTCTCATCGTTGTTTTTCCTCTTTCTTTTGGCGTAGAGCTTAGTGGAACTAATGATCAATCGAAGAAATCTAATAATGCACATACAACTAAATTGTAACAAAAGGAACGTCGAAGGATAGTTATAATGTTATTTACGATAAAATTTACTGTTAAAAATCACCAGTCCCAGCTAAGAGCGCGTCTGACTCCGCAGGACCCCTGAGAGTAAAAAAAAAAGTTTTTTTTTTTTTTTAGGCAAACTAAGGCTAACCAATGATCTTGCTCTAATGTTCCCATGTGATGCAAGCTCATTTTACAGCTCTTCGAGCAATGGCGGTCTTCTTGAATTGTCTTCGCAAGGAAAATTTCCTCTGCCAGCTAAAATGTGATTAATCTGTATCCCAAACTAGAAATAATAACGGCGTCGGCGTTGAAACTTCTCTTCGTCAAATGAGGTCTTCTCAAAATTTTCTGAGCTACAACAGTCGCTGTTGATACATGTAAACAAAGCTTCCTCGATCTGAACGGTGTTGCGGTGAGGGAAAATTTAAGTAACTTAGCTACTGCGTATAAATCAAGAATGTACTGTTACAGGCCCTACAGAAATGTAGTACTTCCTAATGAACTCATCGGTCTGAGATGGATCATTTCATATGAACTTATAAAAAAAATTGACCATCTTCAACATCTGAAACATTTTTAGCTTTCAGTAATACATAACCTTGTACCTCACTGGAGAGTAACACTACCCGGTTCTAATAGATGTATGTTATTTCCTAGCGGAGAGGTCCATATAGTGAAATACTGTGAGCCAAGTCTGAGCAAGGCAGTAGGCTGAAGGTAGCAATTTTTAAGCCTGAGGCTACAGGTTTCACTGAACAGACCTTTCGGCTCGTAAATAACTTCTATAATTATTCTTCTCTAAAGCTGATGAGGACATAAATACACAGGGCTGTCATTAGATGAAAGACAACTACAATTCTTTTGTAGTGAATAAAAAAGGTTGCCTCCAGATAATGTGGTCTTTAATCAGCTGATATAGAAGCTAATATTTAATGGCATTAATGGCCAATTGGCTGACTACTAAATAAATATCTGGCAGTAGTGGGCTGCCTAAAAGTTATCAAGGGGCTAACACATCGAGTGATCGTTCACTGATAGTTGGTAGATGTCTCCCTTTTCAGTTAGATTTATGTACACTGATAATGCACTTTAGGAACAGGTTTCCTCTATATTCTTAGAGGGGAGGGATTTGGGATTCTTATCTCAGTCCTTTGGCCTTAACCCTTAAACTCCCAAGATCTCATTTGTAATTCTCCTTACTGTCTGCCCTACAGTTCTTGTGATGTAAGTTTGGAGTATTTGGTAGTGGATCAACTAATAATCCTCTAATTAAGATTTTTCTTTATTCTCAACATGTGTCTGCTTGATATTGTATTGATATTGTAAGGAGAAATTCTGTCTTGGTCACTCATGGGGTTAAAGGGTTAATGACAAGTCTGTCTTTCAAGGAAAGCACTCTTTCGTGTACTCTTTATTTTTCCTTTTTACAATCCTAAACTGGATTTAACAAATAATGTTTTGAATTTATTTTTGATAGAGTATTTCTGTCTTTTACCTCCAGAATACCTTTTCCAAATTTGTTCCAAAAATAAAAATGAAAATTATTGATAGGCTAATAAATGAAGAATCATTACATCCCTCTAACTTAGAATGACTTTTCTTTATCTTCTACAATGAATAAGGGATATTCTTAGTTGGTCAATCACAATTTTAATTTGTTTGCAGGACAGTTTACCATTTCATTCCCAAGATCTGAATATTAACTCTTGTTTAAATGGCCTTTAAAATATTTCTTTTGGTGTCAGTTCTGAAACTTCAGAGTTGAGTAAAACCATTATCCTCAGTCAATATTTTGATCAGCTCTCTTTTCTCTTTTTCTTCTCAATAAGTTAATAATAATTATTGTGTGGAGAAACAGTAAAACTTCAGAGTTGAATAAAACTATAATCTTCAGTTGATATTTTGATCAGCTGTCTTCTTAAGTTCTTGATATTGTAAGGAGAAGCAGCTGTTTAGTTTGCCCTGAGAGTGAAAGCTGGTTCAAGTATAGCTCAGATTTTCTGCATGAAGATTACTCTTGTTCTCATTTTATTCTATTGCACAAAATTGGAGAGATGCTCTCCTCACTAATTTTATATGTCTTTGATTAGATGACAGGGACTGTGAGACAGGGACTGTGAGACAGGGACTGTGAGACTGACATGCTGATCAGGGTGAAAAGTATTTTTAATCATGTGAGAAGGGAGTTGAATTAACATGTTGGTGGTTTTCTTCCATTTGTATGATATTATCCATTATTTTGTCTATGGCAAGCTTTCTTAACAAGTAAGAAGCTTTGCAAGATGTAAAGGCTCCTGAAAAAATTGAAAAATGTTTACTCTTTGACTCCAAAGATCTAATGTCAATTATCTGCAGTTTGCCATGTTTTCCCATGATTTTAGTGTTGAAAATGTGGTGTTAAATCAAACAACATCTCCTTGCTGATATTTTTCTTCCTTCTCAACACCTTTCTGCTAGAAAATCTATTGTTATCCAGAGGAGAAATTCCATTTTGGTCTATGAGTTGTATTGCTGTCAGCTGGATTTGTAATTATTAACCTTGTCCTCTTTGAGACATATTCTTGTGACTATCCAATTCTTCTGCTTGTCATAATTTATTTTTCTCTCAATAAATCCATCAACAATCCATTGTTGAAAAGTCCCAGAGCCAATTGTCAGTAAGTGTGATCCCTCTATTAGAACATTCTTCTCTGTAAGTGCAACGACCCCACTGTCCATTATTAATGAATCTCCAAAACTTGGATTGTGCATTGTGGGTTTTAAAGTTTTCGACAAATATCTCCATATTTCTTTTATTTTCTTGGCGAATGAAATATTCTGTGATGTATATGTACGCAATGTGTCTGAGCCAAAACGTGTAAAATCAGATGACAGAAAGACTCTCTTAATTTTATACTTTCGTTGAAGGTCTTTTACTTTTTCCATCAGCACTTCGATGCACCGTGACAGTCGATCGAATCCATACCAAAGAATTTGTCGTTCAGCTCGGATATGAATCGAAATATATTCCTCGCCAATTGTGTCGATGATTTTTTTCGCCAGTGAATTAACAAATTCACTCGATCGCAAGGAGTAAACCAACTTCCGGCTTTCAATATTTACTTCTGGTTCGAAGTGGCATCTGTGTGTACCTATCCCTCGCCAGTGAATTATAGTAACACATTTGTCTTCTTTCAGGATTTTACTTTTGAATAATTGAAGACTTTTTATTTTTTCGGCGTCTAAGCAAATTTGTCTCCCGGCGTGAAAATTACCGATTCTATTGGAAAAATTAAGACCGCTATCGATGAAATTGCATTCACACCAGCCGGATTTTTTCAAAGCACTTTCGGTCTTTTGATAAATATCCGAGGATATTTTGTACCAACGTACCATTTCTTCTTCCTTGCGATCGCTGTACATAAAATGGAGCAATGTTGTGTTTGTAACGCTTGATTGACATTCCCGTTTGAAAGTCTCTAGTTTAACCAACGGGGCATAGCGAGATCTCTTGAGCAAATTTTTCATAAATGTCACATCAAAATACAGCGACATCGGATGAAATTTTCTGGCCTCCGACCGTCTTTGTCCGGACCAACCGTCAGGCAAACCACACATCCTAGAATCGCGCACTAAAGGCTCTACGACTACACGACCAGTTTGCTTGGCCACCGCAGCCAGTTGTAGCAAATTTTCTGTAGTCTTTGTAAGTTGTTCGTAATGATGTAAAACAAAAAGGAATTTGAGATTTTGTTTCGATCCAGAATTAATAATTGGCGGAACACTCGAATTGTCATCTCGCGGAATATTCCTTAAAGTTACACTCTTCACCTTGTTAGACCGTGTCGTTGATAATTTTTTAGCGACAGTTTTGTTAAACCGTTTCAATGAAAGTAATCCGTTCAGTGATGGAAAATTCTTCCGAAAAACGCCAGGTGAATTTGAAGTTTTGTTGTCTTGTTCACGAAACAGATGATACATGATGAAAATACTGAAAATAACATAAGTCTTTACACCAAATGGAACAGTGCATCTCGACAAAAATGATCTTCGTCTTCTCACACACGGCCACATAGAGACCAAAACTTGAAGAAGAAAAACGAAACAACCGCTTGATCGAGCACAAGTTTCTTTCAGCTCGCTATGAAGTCATATCTTCCTCTTTCCGTTTCTTGATCCTTGATCCTTGATATTAAACACGAAAGCGCGCTATAAATAGGTTAGCTCCGCCTCTTTGTTTCAGCTCAAATGTAGTAATCTCCCAATATGGCAACCAACGGTCCCATCATGAGCGAAACGGTCTGCATGGAAGAAGCACTTTCAGTGTTTTTTTGTGTCAATAAATTAGAGGATATTGAGTATTGTTGACTCTCTTAATTGAGCTCATTTTGATATTAATTGGCACTAATTTATAGTTCGGCCGCTCAAAGCGCGATCTGCGGTTGACGAGACACTCGCACAGTTGTCTTTTCAAAATTCGCGCCGCGTAACTTCGGTTTATGTCCCAAGCCCCTATACGCATTGGTTCTCCGAACCTTCAGATTATTCCCAATGAAACTAGCGGATTCATGAAACACTCTATTCGTAATGCTTAATATTATCTGTGATAATTCTGTGACAACACCTCTAAAGTATGAATGATTTCGCAAGTAAGTGCTTCGGCTAGCAATATTTTCAATGTACGTTAACAAGAAGGCCATCTTTCTGTTTCCGTTTCGCATGCCACAAATCCGCAGTGAATATTTTTCCATGACATGGTACTTTGATTGTTTTTGGCAGTTTCGAACTATTGCTCACGGCTGTTGACAGTTTGATGGAACGATAAAAAATTCTTTTCAAATTTATGAAATATCTGCCGTCACCAGCTGCCTGCTCCGAATACTTTGATCATGGCGATAAATGACTTAATGCTGGACTTTATCACTCTTAGGGGTTAAGGGGTTAAAATTGTTGCTGTGTAGGTTGTCATCACAGATAACCGCTGTCAATAGCCCCTATATTGGTACATTTGTTTCCTTTGAATAACCCTCTGATTTTTTAATTGATCGATAGTCTATCGCGTGCTTTTCTTTAAACCCAAATCCAGTAATATTATAACCTTTCCTGTCGAAATTTCCACACATATAACCACCAGATCGATAAATAAAAGTATTCGCGTGCTATATCTTTCAAGTTTTATCTTGGCTTTTAGTTAGTGGGGATGTTTTGTCTCCAAGAGAGCCTTAAGTAAAATTCCTTGGGGTAAAGGTCTTAATCGGCTTTAAGATAATTGTACAACCGTGTTTGATGACACGTTCATATTCACGACATTTGCCACCCACAACAGTTTAAAGCTCCGAATTCGCCGCCTCCTCAGTTGCAATCGTTTAAATCAGTTTTACAAATGAAATTATCCAATTTAACTTTAAAAATCTATTTGATATCTGTCAAAGTTGTATAAAATATAATTTAATCGTCTGGAAGTATTCTGTGGGTCACCTTACAGGTTGATTCCACCCTTCCTGGGAGGTGACTGATGGTACAAAATACAATCATCTGGTGATATAATCAGTTTATTTATTACAGTCAACTCTCTGCTAACGGCACAGGCGGCTCAAGCTCCAGCTGTGAGATGATCATCTTACACAATAACAGTCACGGCGGAATCATAAGAGTTTGTATGAGAATATTTACGACCGCTCTAAGGAATAAAACAATACGTCAAATTCTCAATGAAAATAATGCACCTTACTTTCACAGCGTATCAATTTTTATCTGACCGTTTACTTTGATGAAAAGAACCCATTTGAGCGAGTTGTCCATTTCGAGGTTTTCAACTTACATAAGAAAAGCCCTTTTCTTATGTACGTTGAAAATCTCGAAATGGACAACTCGCTCAAATGGGTTCTTTTCATCAAAGAAAGCGGTCAGATAACAAGTGATACGCTTTGGAAGTAAGGTGAGGTATTTTTATTGAGAATTTGACGTATTGTTTTTTCATTAGAGCGGTCGTAAATATTCCCATACAAACTCTTATAATTCCGCTATGACTGTTATTGTACAAGATGATCATCTCACAGCTGGAGCTTGGGCCGCCTGTGCTAACGGACACTCTTGCAAACGAACAGCTTTACTTTAGGAAACTTTTTTCAATTCCCCGTTTTGCCTTTCATTCAAACTCTCTATTTACACTTTTCCGTTGGTGGACAATTTTTCCAATTCTTGAGGGTGTCTGCCTACTAGAGATACCTCACAGGCGTGTGTGTCTTGGAAAATATGGAGACTTTGTTTACAACTAGGAACTCCTTCAGTTAATGATCACTTTCTCAATTCTCATGACGTAAATGTCTTTAATATTTGATTCATAGTGGGGGCTTGATAAGTAATGCTGTAAGGAAAAATAAGACGCAAGCGTCTCTTAAGGGTTAAGCGCTTAAAGAGCTACGTCACGGGCTTTTTTCTCCTGGAAATTTGGCTTACCGAAGTTTTCAAGTTTGTTCGATGATTTGTAGTCCGTGTTTTAAAATCTTCTTTGAATCTAAACATCATCCTTCCTTATTTATCGCCGGGGCTTGTCGTAGAATTTTGCTTGTTGTCCTTAAGCAATTACGAAAAACCCTTCGGAAAACAAATCCACGTTTAATCGTCCAAAAGAACCTCAACACGGTAACACGACTAATACTAAAACTTCGTAAAAAATCCTCAAAAAAAACGGCTCTGAAAAAACTAAACTCGCACACGCGATAATTGTACGCGTCACTTTGCTTACGAGCTTACAAATTGAAAATATCTCTGAGCCCGCGTGTCACGCTAAATTTACCTGATCCCCCCTATACGCCTTTGTAATATTCTTATAACCCCCCTCATAGGAAGTCAATTCTCTATAGTCCCCTCTTTAAACCCTGTTGGCGGCGACCGATCGTCACTCCGTTCCCCCTGAAAACCATGTGATCCCTCTCGTGACTCCAAGCTGTTGTGACTCAAGATGTTCATATGCTTATATAATCTTGTTCGGGTCTTTGTGTCGGTTCTTTGATCTGGCGTTCTGATCACGTTTTTTTTTCTCTAAAATGGCTAGAATTCTAAATATCTAACGAGCTAAGGTTACACACATCAAGTGGAAAATTGACATCAATTTGTTTCCTTCTTTCTATAGGGATAGTGAAACTCCAACCTTACGAAGGGCTCCTTAGGAATTGACGAATGTACAAAATGTGGTTATACTGGGTTCTTGTTAGTACCCGTTTTTACTAGTGGGCCTAAAATGAATTTATTCCGTTTTCCGACTTACAACAATTGGCTTAAGTGAATCCAACCGAGTTTAAACTAGAATTTCAGAGTTTGATCCATAAACGCAACGAAAACATACACGCCAAAATGCTCCGACCGAGTAAAATCACATCATGTGATTACGTTATTAACCCTTTAACTCCCAGATTAAATTTGTAATTCTCCTTAGTGTCAAACATACAATTCTTACAATAATAGTTCAGAGAATTTAGTATTGGATCAACTAATTATCCCCAAATTGATCTTTTTCTTTATTCTCATCACTTATCTAGTTGATATTGTATTGATATTGTAAGGAGAAATTCTGTTTTGGTCACTCATGGTAGTTAAAGGGTTAACAATCAACAAGTCAGTGTCAACCAAGGGAGGTTCCCTGAATTCCGCGAAGGGCCTTAAAGTATTATGTTACACTAAGGTCTTCGTTACATACCGATTCCTTATACGGGGCTCCCACTCAAAAACTACGTTATTAATTTTTTGCTAGAAGTAAGCAATTAAAATTCTAGTTACTTCTTGGTTCATGATAATCTCTTTGTTGGTTTGCTCTGTTACCGAACCGAATATTTCGCAAATTACTTTAAGTTAAGGTGGTTTTTGCAAGAAGCAGAAGAAAAACCTTGAATTATCGTGACTGACCAAAAGAAGTAGTTAATCTTGAGAATTAACTGATAGAAATCACTTAATACAAACTATGTACTCTACGTATTTTTATCCAATTATCGCTGTTGAAATATTGTCAGGTTGTCGAATTTTTCTGATCACTGTTTCAAATATAACTGTTTGTATGTAGAGGATGATCCTCTAATATCATTGCAAAGAATCATTTACTTTTTACTCTAGTAACTAAAAGCATATAAGGAATGATTTAGATTATTTTAGCTAATCATCACCAGAGAAGTAACTTTGTTACAGTATTGCTTTATAACTTAGTAAAGAGAATTGCGATTTACATCAAGTTTATACATCAAAACTGAGAAGTTTGTCAATTCTGCTTCTCCCCTTTTTGCTAAATATCCTATTTTGATGGTAAAGAGAAGTTACATGTCAGTCACTTGCCCACGTGTAGTCTTACCCTCCCCCCCCCAAAAGTGAAACGGAAGCGCGGAACCATTTCACTTTGGGGGGGAGGGTACGGCTACACGTAGGCTAGTCAGTCACATCTCTGTGAAGTGATTCAAAGAATTGATCCAGTTTTGTTTATAATTCGTTTTCCTTTCCTTTATCTTCATTTACTTGTTTATCTTCATTTGTTGGCAGGTTATTTTTTCCCACGAAAATCTGTGTCATTTTCAAATCGGTTCAATTGAAGTTGTTATTTGTTCTATAGCATTTTTTTCAGTCCTAGAAGATCAAGTGCTTTTTTACAATATTTCTCAATTATTTGAATTCTTTCGACTGGAGAATCTTGCTTCCACTTATCAATATTAGCCGTTGAATTTCGAGTTGGTGAGAATATGTTTTTACTTTCCTTCATCAGTTCTTCTTTACTCGGCGAAGTATTGCGAACCACCCAGTCGGCAATGCTATCGGGCATTTCAAATCCTGCAAAATTATACACAGCTCTTGTCGTTTCCAGCGGTTTTCCGGCTAGATCGTGGTAGTGAACTTCTAAATACTTGTCTTGCCATTTGCCCAGGTTTCGGCCAAACTTGATGTTTGCGACCAAGTTTGAACAAATTTTTCTGACTAAGTTTGGAAAACTTGAATGCGTCCAGTCCACCATCCACCCTAGCTTAATCCGGGATCTTAAACTCGCTCTGGGATCCCTGATAAGCTGGATAACCCGGATGTCGGTGTCTGGATTCTCTAAGAATACCTTTGGAAGAAAAGATGAGATTAAACTGTTGGGTGTTC